ACCATGTGTACCACAGTTAGGCTACGCATACATGCTGACTTGAGCGTGAGCTAGAATATACTTGCACGGCATCTACCGCACCTCTGCTTCCCCGCCTGGGCCAGTTTTCGTGATTAAGACCGGAAGCGGTTAGCTCCCAGGTGGCTGGCGCAGCCGAAGTTGCCTCTAAGGGTGCCATCACACTTAACTGGCAAAGAAAATATAGTTGCCAGAGGCAAGCCTGTTGTCCATAACCCTATGAAAATCCTACGTACCAAAATGCACCAAAGGGAACTCTGATGTCAATAAAGGTTATTCGTCCCGACAGCAATTACACTAGACAGTAACTCCTCACAACCTTAATGCTGCTACGAACGTGCCAAAAAGATCAGGAGCTTCTGCAGTAAGTCTGGATTTCTCCTCACTTGCGGACCTTGAGACTTCGCAAGGACGAGCTCAGCAGAGGTCAAGTTTGTGGATTCCTCTGCAGTGCCGTACAACAGAAACGTACGTTTTATTGGTTTTTATTTGGCAAAAGAAGTCTGCATCACCAGCCCGCATTTATTTACGAAATTGATATTGGCACGTTCTCGTCAGTCAGTGGCCGGCATCTACCGCTACACATTTGTCAATCTTGTGTCATCATTTAAATGCGGATGGTCGCATTCTCTTGCAGTCGATTGACAGCAGACCACCGAGCCGATTGACACGCAGATAGAGACCTACGATGGGCGTTCGCTGAGTGCGGGTAGAAGCACGTCCAAAGTAATGCTAGGATCTGGTCTCTTTAGTTGGCAGCTATTCTGGGAGACGTCATGGGCGTTGACTCGTGTTCGCTTGTAGAAAGCGATACCGTGGGATGGGATGTAGGCATCAGATGACAAATACCCATGTCTCGGGGCCTCATCGTGTAAATGCAGATCTCTTAACCGTTGATTTGGCCTTTAACACAGGTGTAATCAGACGAATCTTGTTGATAACTCGCTGCTCCGAGGAGCTTATTTCGTCACCTGCATATTCATTGGAAACTGTGCACATGCCCGGAGGCATTATCCTCTACTGTGACTCGCGTATACACAGACGACCTCGAGTTTCGTCGCCCCCTGGAGCAGTACGCTTTATTCCGCAAAGGAGTTGGCCGAAATCCCATGTTATCAGCGCGGTCAAGATTCACCCTCTATCGGCGGAGTGGTTTGACAGTTACATTTGAATAGTATTAGTGAGAAGAACAGCCAGAAAAAAACTCAACGCGCGGAGTTTCGCATGCATGTTTTAATTCTTGGTCTTGAGCTTTGCCCTGAACAGGACAACGGAAACGAGGGTAGTTTATTAAATGCTGTTTCCCGATCGTTCACACGCTGTCACTCGAATGCTGGAACCTCAATTCTCTACGTAGAGGTAGCGTTGCCACTGCAAACCAGTGAGGGCTTATTCGAGAGAACTTAGTACGCCTGCACAATCGCTAGTCTAGTCGATCGCTTGTCTTACAGATAACCAAAGTTAGAATAACATGCTTGCGCCTCCAGTCAAATTGACCCACCTTTTTGAGTCTCACAAGACTTAATCGGCATTTGTGTCCGTCATAACATCCAAACGAACTTTCAATGTGGATACTGCCAAATGTTGATCCCAATTAAGCCAGAATTGAAGAAGGTAACCAGCAAGCGTAGGGCATGATATATAGTAAATTGGCAAATTAGTCGATATTTGGCTGTACAAATGACTCCGAGTCGAACTTCTTCCGCGCCTATGTTCCAAAGCGTTTCTTGTGGAGAGGGGCAGGTAGTTTGAGCAAGATTTCGGGCGTGTCGATTTGCATAATAGCCACACGGTCGGGCAACACAGTCGCCTGAATTGCTGTCTACAAGAGTGCAAACACAAATTCTTAATGTAAATAACACCCGCTACTGAATAACAGGCAGTACGATTGACAAGATAATTCACGATCGAAACTGGGCTTACCTGGAAGTTTGCGGACACCCTCAGGCATAGGTCCCTTCCCTCCTTATTCTGCCTTCGCACGGCGGCTTTAACATCTGTGGCCTTATATGGCTAAAAAAGAGAAGTAAGTGACTACATCTAGCAGGTGTGAACAAAAAAACTGAAGGCATCATCCCAGATGGATGCGTTTGTTGCAAGACGCGAAGGGAATTTCAAACGTCCATTTGAACGCAAGTACCGCAAGAAAGACCCTGTGGCTTTGGCGCCGAAATCGGATTTTGGGCTTTATAGTCATTCTCAGTTACATACTTATTTTACTTCGACATCACTGGGAATGTCTCTTCACTTTGTCCTCGTTGCAACCGTGTTCCAGTTTCCGCACTGCTCCCAGCGTTCCACCCATCACGACGGTTACATCATTAGAGCTCCAAGGGCATCCCTCACTGCCAACAGCACAGACACACTGACAACTTTTCCATGTAGAGACGCCATATTTGAATCGCGTATCGGCCTGATAGGTGACTTGCGAATGTAAAGAAATACCTATAGATAAAACTTTACATTTGTATATGCTACTCACTATTTTACAGTAACATATTTTATGTTGGATATATTATGTACGCAAGAGACAATTCTGACTGCTCTCACGCACACGTAAAAATTTGTACATGTATATATTTTACTCACTGTTTTATAGTGACAAATTTTATGTTGGATATTTCATGCATACTGTTTTCAATAGGGTCTTCAAAGGCATTGCCTACTACCCTAAATATACTGAACTATGTCTGTGTCTAGAGCTCCTGCCAACACCTATAACTTACACCCCGCTACCCCAGGATATCGCACGGGCCTGTTTGTCTATGTGAATCTATGTGAACATGAAAAAACGTTCAGTAGAACAGCAAAGCTCGGATCTGCCTTACAGTACCACACATTGGCTGCATGCACGGGCTAGTTTGGGCATTTTTCCATGCATATCAGAAATTATCAAAGCAGCGCATGCAGCCTATGCAATACACTTTACCATTTTTGTTTTGGCAGGCAAAACATCCTAGATGATGACGTGCACATCGCCCTTATTTTTTGGCGAAGTCTGACAACACGCCACTTGTCATGAGACAGTTTACTGATGGATGAGGGAGGCCGACACTGGGGAATCAATCTTCACGATAAATCAGGGTATATCTCAGTAGTGTAGGCCTGATACGTTTGACTGTATTACGAGGTAGCGGAGGTCCAGCCTTGGAAAGTCGTCAACAGACGGATGACTTAAGCCTACTCGGGACGCGTTGTAAAGGCACCTTCTATATGCGGCACGCACGTACGCGGGTATGATGCGCGTAGAGTTGGGGGAGAGTTCTTGTGTTAAGCAGATTATTCAGTCCTTTGGTCACCTTAAAGTTTTATTGTTATCGGAAAACTATGGGTGTGTCAAAAGAAGTGAGGCAGATGCTGCGCAAACATGCTTTACCGTGAAATTAAGGTGGCTGCAGTAAAGGCTCGACAGAGCGTCTGTGTATGTCTGGCCACAAGGGAAGATGGGAACAGTCATAGCGCTAAGAATGTTAACTGTATGCGTTCTCCAATTCACATTCACTGTTGAACTTGGATGTTAATACACTGTGGTAGCCAAGTGAAACAATAGTAACTTTTGAAGGGTTTGTTTCGAAGAATTTACTCCAAGTAGAGGCCTTAGTTTTCTCGGAAAGAGGCAGGATGGAAACTTGAGTTCTTATTCGATAAACACACTGAGAGGGGGGGCTTAGTGAGACGGACCCCTCACAGCTACGTCCGGCAGTGGCACAAGACCCGTAAAACATGCGCATCTGGGCCTTTAGCTCTCAGTATGGTAAATAATTACGTAATTTTATAAATATATAAAATCTTACGAACAGAACAGGCAGTATTTTGTCGGTTTTCTACTGTTCATAGAGTCTGTTTTTTTGTAAAATAAGGGTTTGAATAAACTGTGCGTAGTTATTGCTTTTGAAGTTATTTCCTCGTAATCACTGTCCGACTTTTGTGTACGCCTTATCACAACTGCATACTACTAGTTGTTGAAAAGGTCACGCGAATATGCTCAGATTTTTTGTTATCTTAACAGCGTAACGAGGCTCACTGAATGCCCCCGAGAAACGTATACAAATGTTTATTAGAATGTCGTCAAGGGACATGGCGCTTGGTAGATTGAAGGCCTCGGAAACCTGGTAAAATACGGTTGGACTATGGTGTGTTTGTATTATTGAGTGCTCTTTCTCAATGTTTGAGGGTACGCCACACCCGTTTAACCTAAAATATGCTCACGAGCTGGTAGCTTAACCGATGACCTGCATAGCTTAGTAGATACACAAGGGCAGGTTCTAACTAAGTCCGCAATCGGAGTATTGCAAATACATTACAAATGATAATAGTGACCTTCTTTGTCTCCATACCTAAAAATTCTCGATTGTTGTCATTCGTTCAAATAGACTCCCTGTTTAGAGGAAAAAATGATTTTCACATGATTAGGCGGCAATTTTTTGTATCTCCAAACAGTGAAAATTATCGGTGACTTCCATTGCACTATTTAAATACGACACTTGCGAGTTCTTATTATATCCTGTCAAGGCAAGCCTAGACAACGTTTTCGAAAACAACCTAGGTAATGATTTGAGGAGAAATCCAAAAGAGACCGGTGTGGCACTACCTGTTTGACTACTGTAAACATGACAAAGTTAGGCTAGGTTTGCGAAATCGTCGAATTATTGAAAACCTACTCATGTATTTTACGTAGCAACTATATTTTTTAGGAGGCGCTCTTGATTAAAGCAGACTATAGGAGATGGAGGACGCGCGCGCAGTCGGTAAACGAGTGTCAAACCAATAAAAGCAGCCGATCACCTGCATTTGTATTGTGCCCTACACACCCGTCCAGCGACGTCTATTTTCTAGCTGCGCGTGTATTGCCATTTTAGTCCTCTTCCAGTAAAACCACATTCAGGCCCATTAAAAAGATTAGCAGCTATTCCAACAATCCGTTGCAGTGTTTGACAAATGCTTGGCCGCGTGGTCAAAGGTTAGACTGCTAATTTCCTACGTACTTAAAAATAGCATTTCCCAGGTTACAAAAGAGAATGTTACTAGGGAATCTACCTTTGTGCGGTCCAGATACACCACAAACCCAGCAGATACAAGAATCCAACAGTCTCCTGACGGTCCCAGGTAGTCCATCGAGTGAAAAGGCGGCAGCCGCCGATTCCACTCCTTGCCCACGCTGGCCCAGAACTCAAGTAGCCAGGGATCCTGCACAGGGTGTTCCTTCACTGACACCTTGAACTTACCGGTCCCAGATTCTGAACAAGGTTCAACACTGATGGGTACTTGCCACTCAACCAGCTGACTGTTGGTGTACAGGATAGAAAGACGCAGATCTAGACGGACGGGGCAGGACGACGTCGGTACCGTAGGTGTGCGAAGGGCGACTGCGACAGGGCGTGGCGCGCAGAGACTGGAGTCTGAGTGAATCCGAGGGCAAGTAAACAGATGCTGACCGTGGGTCTCCAGACAGTGCAGTAGGACGCGGCCATCGGTGCAACCAAGGGCCAGAACAGTGATTTGGTTCTGGGCGGTAGGGCTATCCTTAGTCGGTGGCAATTTTAGAGCGAACCGCTCCATCCGCATGAGGTGGACGCCGACGGGGGCA